GGACTGGAGACCTGTCCGGGGCGTCCCTGTGATGGACTGGGGACCTGTCCGGGGCGTCCCTGTGGTGGACTGGAGACTTGTCCGGGGCGTCCCTGTGGTGGACTGGAGACCTGTCCGGGGTGTCCCTGCGATGGACTGGGGACCTGTCCGGGGTGTCCCTGTGAAGGACTGGAGACCTGTCCGGGGTGTCCCTGTGATTCCTGAGGTGTTTGGAAGAGGTTGTGCTGTCTGTTGAGGATGTAGAAGACACGTACATAATTGGATTTATGATAACAGGTTTCTGCTTTTTGGAATCGGTGGACACCTCGGTTATCGGCTAATAAGGAAGACGTCGGCAGCAGTTTTGTAAATAGTAAAGCTTCCCGCCTTATATGAAGGATTACTCCGTGCTTCGAGCTCAATGTGCTTTACAAGCTGAACCGTAAGTTGGATGCGGTTTCTGGGACTCGTGGGTCACTTGCAGCTCCTAGGACTCGCCGGCATGAAGGAATCGACCCTGGAGAAGGATAACAAGCACGGACCGGTGGAATGTCCACGGATCTGGCTGTTTGGATTCACCACCAAGTACAACAGAACTGAAGGCAGACACGTCAGTAGACTCGGCCCACCCAAAACAATTATCTGAATTTGACCTCCCCGATGACCTTGGACAGGCCATCTGATCTCAAATTGCTCCTGGAGGATACGTAAACTACAAGATCTGCCTGCCCCCAGGACATCTGTGGCCTTATCAGAATTGTGCCGCTGAAAGACTGTACCATCACATCAGAACTTTCTGGAGCGTCCACGGACAACTCACCGCCTTTGCTGACCTCTGTGCATAAATGTATGATGTCATTGTGTTATGTTGCGAGGTCTTTTCTTTGCATGTTTTACACTGTGCCCCGGCCAGGACATGGTGCGAGACATTATGTATGAACATTACTGGTAATATTGCAGTTAAGTATTATTTAATTTTTTTATTGAACATTATTGATTCACTAAATAATTTAATTAATGCTGTTCACGTTACATTCAGGACCTTTTTTTAATGGTGCCACTACAGAGCAAAAATGAACCGCTTTCTTTATATTAAAGACGTTTTATTGCATATTCAAATAGAATATTATTAAAAGAGTAAGAGCAGTAAAACCAGGGACATCACAGAGTCGCCCATAAAAAATAAAAGTTTAAAAAAATGAGACAAAAATGATTTAAAAAAAGAAAATCTGTGGTAAAAACATTCTGCCTCGGTAGTTCAAGTGCTCCTCCCTGTCAGGACCCGACTGCTCCGCTTCAGTCGGCCTTCAGGGCGTAGAGGACGTCGTCCTGGCTGACGTTGAGCCGGACTCTCTGCAGGACTCCCAGGCGGCTGGACTCCAGCAGCAGCAGCCTGCAGCCTCCCAGACGCTGACACACGGCCAAGCCCTCCGACACGCCGACCGGCTGCAGACCCTCCACCCGACACAGAGCCTGGTGCTGCACGAACACCTGCCAGACAAAACGCAGGGAAAACTGAACATACAGAAACAGCCAGGAGAAACTGGCTACAGAGAGGAGCTACATCCATCTATAAAGCACAGTGGAGGTTAAGTCAGATACATTTATGCAGGAAATACTTCAAACATCTGCTCGTCTCCTCACCTGCTGGAAGGTGGCCTCCTCCAACCCCAGCCGTCTAAACTCAGCGATGACGGCTCGCAGGAACAGCTGCTCCTGCGTCGAAGCACACCTGGAAACACATGCCGGTCCATGACTCTGCCTAACAACCCGTCCACGGTGCAGAGGGGAGGAGCTTACTTGATGGCGGTGATGTAGGCCGAGGAGAACATCTCATCCAGCGCCTCCATCATGTGACTCATCCCCACCAGCCCTGCAGAAGACAGCTCGCAGATCTCCGTCGCTCGCCGACAGATGTCCAAACACCGCCGTGCATCGCCCGACAGAGCGGCCACCTGTCGGAGGAGAGAGTCGCTGAGCGATCCGGCACCGGGAAGAGCTGCAGGACAGGTGAGGGGGGCGGGGCTTTACCTTCCTGGACACCAGCTGCAGAGCGTCTTCTTCGAAGGCCTTCACTTTGTTCAGCCGGGACGTGATGATCTGCTGCAGCTGCTTGAAGGTGTACGGCTGGAAGGACATCCGGGTCAGACCCTGGAGACATCCGAACATCAGAACCCAGAGACCCGAACAAAACTTTCACACCATCATTTTATTTTTGCACAACAAACATTCAAGCCGAGTAGAGCTCTTCATCTAGATCAGGGGTGTCGAACTCCAGGCCTCGAGGGCCAGAGTCCTGCAACTTTTAGATGTTGCACTGGTCCAAAACACCTGGATCATATATGACTGAATTAGCTTCTCAGTGCAGTCAAGTTCTCCAAAGTCCTGCTAATGACCTTCTTATTTGATTCAGCTGTGTGGCATCAGAGACGCATCTAAAAGTTGCAGGACTCCGACCCTCGAGGCCTGGACTTTGACACCTGTGATCGAGATAAAGGTCCAGGTCCGATTAACGTTTTGTTAATGACCTGCGAGCGTCTCGCTCAACGTTTGTCACATGTTCAGCAAAGTTCCTCACCAGCCTGCTGGCCACCCTGTTGATCATGATCCTCTCGGGCAGGTCCATGGTGTTGGCGATGGCCAGAACCACCAGGCGGGCGTGGCGGCGCGTTGGCCAGTCGAACAGGTTGTACATCACGTTCTGCTTCCTCGTCCACAGCAGGTCCAGCTGAAGCACAGAGGACGTCAGTCTAGAAGAAACCGCGACTGGACGGCTCAGAGAGCAAAGATCAGGACGTGAAGTTTGAGGAGGATTCATCGACCTTCACAACTCCGTGGAGGGGACTTTAAATTAAAACGGTCTCGGAGAACTCAAAGTTCCCGTGCCGATCACAGACGTGTGGTTTCTGGGTAAACAGAGTTCTTACCTCGTCCACCAGCAGCACGGTTGTTTCCTTCCTCGGCGCCGGGTTGCTGAACCGTTTCTCCAGCAGCGCCGCGGCGTGATCGGCCGTCGCTTTCTGACCCGTCAGTTTCTGCAGAAACGAAGGTCAGAACCAACACGTCCGTTTAATGATAGACTCCTAAAGAGGCTTCAAAATAAAATCTAAACGTTTGTTCTACTGAACTTAATGTCGACTTGAGTTAATCTCATCTTTAATCTTCAATCCGTTTAATTTTTGATCCAGTCTGTGGATCGCAAAATTCCCAAAATGCAACAGGAAACGGTCTCCTGCGGCGTTAGACGCGACAGTGAAGGTTACAGAAACATCGGGCTCAGAAAATCTAAAGAAAAGTTCAAAATAAACTTTAACTTTAAAAAGATCCTGTTTTCTAAATGAAACTAGACGAAGCTCGTGGTTCATGTCGTGTCAACTTTCAAACGCTCAGACAAGAATAATCCAGAGATCAGAATCTGTCGACCCGGATCACCAGGTGCTGCGGCTCGCCTCCTCTCACCTGCAGGATCTGAACGTACGCCTGATGAGGATCCGTCATCTTCATCCCGTTGATCTCCACAAAGTGGAACGGCGGGATCTCGTCCGTGTCGGCCGCGTGCTGCAGACAGCGCATCACCTCGTGGACCGTGGCCGTCTTACCTGTTCCCGGCACACCTGAGATGTACATGCACCTGAAGCAGAAGCACAACGTGACATTAGTCGGTCATCCTGAGCTGGAGCCTGCGCCCCTGCTGACACTTTTAATGCTCTGCAGGCGGATGACTCAGACAAATCTGACAAAAAATATGAAATCAACCTTCTGATCCGGTCGTTTCTTTATATTTTCCTTCTAATGATCTAAACTCTCCTGTTCTCCTTTGATCCTTTGGTCTGGATAATCAGTTCTTCGGACTGTCTGAAGGTCTGTCAAAGGTTTTCTTTGGACTTTGGCTTCTTTTCTTTCAGTTTCAGTCCTTATTGATGAACATGTGTAATGTTTTTAACTCTGATCTCACTGAGACAGAAAACTCAAGGGATGGACCCGAGTTGTGTCGACGTGTGACGGACACGTAGAACGTTTTTGTTCCCAGCGGTCTGTCACAGCTCCAGTTGGGAAAAACCAGGACAAAGGGGACTTTAAAGAACCGTTTCCTCTCGTTCAGACTACAGACTCCTCTTTCTCCAACATTCATCCGTCTTTTAACGTCCTGTGAACAAACCGATCGGGTGCCAGAGAGTCCTGGTTCCATCGGTTCTGTTTGGGCTCAGACTCACCCCCCCGTGCCGTCGGTGATCTTGCTCTCCACAAAGCTGTAGATGTCCTGGAACTCCTGCTCCCTGCAGGGCAGAGACTCGGGCACCGAGGACACGTGGAGCCTGCCGGGACACGAGAGCGGACACGTTGAGACACGTTTGTTCCACACGGAGACAGAAACGTTAGAAAGGTTTGTCTCCGGGTACCTTCTGGCACCGGATGTTACAAGAACTTCACCTGACTTGGACTCAAACAAACGTCCAGAGACCGACAAAGTCTTTTTCTGATGAAGATTCTGACCCTGCAGCCCTGACCCTCCTCCCCCGCGGGTCTGGTCCTGTGTGACGGATCTCACCTGGTTCTGGCCTCCTCTAGGACGTTGGCGGGCCGTCGGGTTGGCAGAGACCTGCTGGGGATGCTGGGCGTGGCGTTCCGGGGCGTCCGTGGCGTCCCCGGCCCGGTCTGTAGAGACAGAAGAGACGAGGTGAGATCGTCTCCACAAACGTTGTCCAGCTGCCGTCTCCACGGAGACCCTCACCTTCCTCAGCGTTCGGGTCGAGGAGCGAGTTTTCTGCTTGGAGCGAGGAGTGCGAGACCCCGCCGGGGACAGACGGCTCTTCTTCATCACCACCAACTCCTCCTCCTCCTCACCACCTTCATCTTCCTCGCTGCTGCTCTGCAGCTCCTTCTTCAACGGAACAAACTCGTCTTCATCGCCTTCATCAGAGCTCAGGTCCCGGAGGTCGTTCCTGAGAGAATAAACCAACAAAGCTCAGAAATCAGAATTTAACGTCATAAACAAACTGGACCCGAGGCGTCGTTCAAAAACAAACTGAGTCAAATGGATGAAACTAAATGAATCGGGTTTAACTGATGTTCAACAACATCTGGTTCTCTTTAACAACAAAGTAATTTTGTTAATTTATTTACAATAAAAGTCTGAAAACAATCACTGATGTAGATGAACAGATGCTGCGAAATATTCATCAATTAAAACGGATTCCTCATTTTTCTGGACTGAATAAAACGTGCATTGAATTTAATGAAATGTAAACGTGAGACGTCATTTATCTTTGACCCATCAAAATGAATGCGGTCATTTATTCTACAGAATCAAAGTTTAACATCAAACATTTACATTAATTTGGCAAAATATGAAAATAACATAATTAACAGCTTTACAGGTAGTGAGAAACGATGCGGCGATTGTTTCCACTCTTCAGCAGAACAGCAGACATCAATGAAAACTGTACAATTATGATCAATTATCCACACGGCGGTGGATGAGCACTTTACACAGACATTTCTAAATTATCTGGAAGGATTTCTACTTGAGAGAAGAATTTAAAGATGGAAATGAAGTTTAAAGGGAGTAAAGTATGGATGAGGGAGAATGTGGTGTGTATGAGTGAAAAGTGTTGACAGGACGACACCCTCCATCCGACCCAGCTTTTCCTCGGTACGCTAAGTAGGAGACTAGACTCATTACCTCTCTGAAGATGACTCAGAAGAAACGAAGTCCAGTTACGCTACCTGTCCAGCGTCTCCATAGGATGGCTGTGACTCGTCCGAAGTGGTGACGGGGCTTCGTCAACAACAGTTCACCTCACCGGGTGGACTCCACATGAGTGGGGTTCTTCAGAAGTTCCACTCAGAGGAGGAAGATGTTATAATCCAAACTCCTAAGAGCCTTATCATGGCTGGACTTCTGTTCTCCCAAACGACTTCACAGAACTGCGAACATCTCAGAACTTCTCCGCGCCGCCGAACTGCTCAGACTCCGAGAGAACTAGGAAGTACCGGCATTTTAAAGAGCTGTATTTCCGGTATATTTGAGCGTCCCTGATTGGGTAATATCAACCAGACAGGGGTGTGTTTTGTGATGTAAGAGGTTACTAGAAGTCAGAAAACAGCAAGAATGTTATTGGAACAGATTAAACTGTTCTCAGAGACAGAGAGAGTTTTGTTTTGGCGAGTTTTAGAAACAGGTGCCAACTTCTCCGTTGACGTCTGAGAGGATGTAAACAAGACACATGTCTGCTTCGACTCCTGACCTTGGAAAACGCACACTTGCTCATTCAAAGACAGAAATCAGAAAATGCATAAAAATCTGTAACAGACCTTAACATGAATTCTAACTCTGCATAAGCAATCAAAATCATTACACTGTTTCACAGTTAATAAAATTGATTAGTTCACTGCAACATCTAAAATGGTTTGAACTAAGACACTTTGATTATCAACATTTGTAAAATAGTAATGATAATAAAAAGAGAGTGTTCTTTCTCTTGATTTTCAAGAAGGAAAGTCTCAGGATGGGTGAACCTGTATTTCTGGATTCAAATCAATGAAATGACAGTTTCTGTCCCACAAGGTTCCCAAGGTCAAGGGTTTTGACCTTAGGCTTAGTTTTGACATCAGGTTAAGTTCACTACACTGATAACTTTCATGTTGCCGATTAAAAAAGAAAGGTCAAAGGTCACACGGCACTCACAGCTGCTTCCTGATGAAAGACGACACCTTCAGAGCGGACTTCCTCTTAGAGCTCCTCGGTGCGGCGCCGCTCGTCGGCGTGAAGTTTGCCTTTTCCTCCTCGGCTCTGAGAAGCACAGACGACGTTACAGAGGACCGAGCGGGCCGGGCCGCAGGTTCTGTACAGCGAACAGAACCGCGTCAACGTGGACCCGTCGCAACATATTTTGCTGGGAGATTAATGGTCTCAGAAATTATTGCGATAAATGATAATATTGTTAGAAACTTAAATTATTGTCAATTTTAAGAAGAAATGTTTGAACTGAAGGATGGATAGTGAGGGAGCGAGCAGCGTGTCTCTTTAAGAAAAATGGGAGGGAGGCCCCTTGACGTGACATGGGCCGTCACTCCGTCCTATTTTTTGGTTCTCAAAATGGCCGACGCTCGGTGTAGTTTGAGCTCTTTAGCATTTGTCACACAAAGCTTTTAATAAATAAATCAGTAAACACGTTCTCAGCTTCTTTTTGCAGAGAAAAACAACTTTTTACACGAAGACACGAGTTTCAACCGTGAATTCTGGAGCTTCGACGAGACGGAGGTTCGGCCTGTTAGCTTAGCTCGTAGCTTAGCTGCTTTTAACGATCCAAAAACACGATTTTAGACGGTTAAAACAGATTCTAAAGAGAAAGGGAGGGCTCAGTGAAGAACCAGAGCTGATCTTTTTCTCATCCAGTGTCTTCAGTAGAAAGAGAGAGACACGAAGAAACGATAAAGCTGAGGTTGATAATTTTCATTTATCATGCGATTAATTGATTTATCGTTTATCGCGACAGCCCGACGTCATGGCGCCAACGGGACACGAATGCAACTTGTAAAAAGAGAAAAGTTCTCCAGACCCGCTTCGTCGGCACAGATCTGAAGAACTTCTCGCGTCTTTCTTCTCATTTTCAGAGTTTATGTTTAAATTCTGCCGTTTGTTTTCAGGACAGTCGAGCTCCTCGGTACAGGCGGCTGTGGCCGAGTGCTTAGAGCAGTCGTCCTCCAACGCAAGAGTTGGGGGTTCGATTCCACCAGCAGTCACACGTCAAAGTGTCACTGTGCAAAACACTGAGCCCCTCGTTGCCTCAGGTGTGTCCCATCGGTGTCTGAATGTGATGAAGCTCTGATTATAGATCTAGTATAGAGCTGTACGAGAGGCTAAATGAGGCACAGGTTGTTGTGAAGAGCTTTGAGTGTCTTGATAAGACAGAAAAGTGATTATATATATATTATATATATATATATATATATATAAGTACAATTAATTTACTATTTACGTTTCTGACCCGGTAAAATGAAGTCGGACCTTCAGGCCTTCTAACCAGAATCTGTTCAGTTCCTCCGACCAGATTTAAAAAGCTGCTGGATGGATCCTCTCCGTCTTCAGGTAGAAATAAATCTTTTTGTCATAAACCTGAAACTTTTTCATGCCGGTGGAAACGGTTTTCTTTGAAAAGTTTTTGGTTCGAGAACGTTTTCAGTCGCCCCTATTTTTATTTTATTTTACTTCGTGATTTCCCACGACAGCTGCTACGTAAACAAACTATTTACGCTTCGATACGAGTTTTTCCATTCAGTCACTTTTTAAATCTCGTACGGTAAACTTTAAATAAATAACCGTTTGTACTCACAGAACACCCAGAGCCGGTTCTTTTACACGTTTTGCTTCTTTGGTGTGAGAAGGAGTCGCAGCTCTGCAAGAAAAGACGGAATACGGCAGATTATTTTCTGTTTTTTTATTAGAATATATTTAAAGAGTAAATAAAAACACAAGCATCATCTGACGGTTTAATGTTTTAAGGTGAACGCGGAGCTGCAGAGTTTTTCAGACGTCACAAAGAAAAACAGAGGGGTCATAAAACTGCCTGGGGACTCAAACTCCCAGCAGCCTCAGGGTGAACCAGCCTGATGAGCTCTGCTTAAGAGCTTAAATTTCCTATTTTCACCAAGGGCAGTAAACACAACCCAGTGAGGCATTCACTGACCGGCCCAGGTCTTTGCTGTGAAGCTTCTTCTTCTTTTCTAATTATCTGCATCAGTTCCAGCGTTTCTCTTTCAGGTGACCTTTACAAAAAATATCGCATTGTGGGAACCAACGGCTCTTTATGGGACCAAAGCCAGGTCCCCATAAGGAGAAATCTCGTTGGGGGGTTAGGGGTTAGGCTTAGGACTAAGGTGTTAACTGAGGATGGGTTAGTTATGTACTAGTACTGGTTAGGTTTAGGTTAGGCTAAAGAAAGTGAAATGGAAGTCAATGCAAAGTCCCCAAAAAGTTGTGTGTGTGTGTGTGTCCTTGTTTATGCTACTTTGTGAGGCCCATTTTTCCAACTTATACTACATTGTGAGGACCAACTGCTCCTTATGGGGCCC